CTTGTTCCTTGTGCTGTAGTTTCCAACTAAGTGTCATTTACAAGTATGTGCAACTAACTAACAACAAGTAATATACATGTAATAACAATTTTGTGTGGACTAAGGATATATTATATATAGTGAAAAGGATATGTGAAAGGGATTGTCCTGTTGCCACTCACAAGCTCTTTTATTAACTTTTGACATCAGCTAAAGCCCACAACAGCACGGTAAAATTGTTGACAACAGTACAACCATGGTTCATCTAACTTGGATATAACAAGCCTCCAGATATAATGAGTAAACCTATAAGCTTGCAGACATTGCCGAGAGTGTGACGTAAATGTTGAACTGAGGGTTAATGTTTCACTCAAGGAGCTCTTTTAACTGTGGTTGTATTGTTGTTAATAGAGTTTTCCACCTCGGGAAGGAAAACTAGCAAAGGCGGATGTCAAAGGTTAATTCAAAACTCTGTTGATTGGCAACAGTGCAAAGCTTTCAAAGCTTTGCATTCCAAGTGGGGTTGGTTGTAGTGAAAAAAAGTTGATTACACTCTGTCTTCCTTAAAAGATATGTTACTTACTCAAAAATTACCATATCAATGTGCATTGTAGCTTAACAGGGGTTAGGGCCATGTAGTACTAGAGCGTGTAAAAATTGCAGATTCTGTACAAATTGCCCTTGTTGTGGTTCACATTAATGTCTGATTAACTCCCTTGAAACTGACATACATTTATGCCTTGTGGTAGACCTGTGTGGCTTCTTAAAAGCACATCTGCATTGGTTTTGACAGAATCTGCTTTTTTCTTGGGGTTGCAACATTAATATCAAACTGCTCGTCATATGGCAATGTGGGTTTGATCAAGTTTTTCCAAACCTGTGTACATAAATTTGTGTACTGTACATTGGTAAACGGTGTTTGATCTTGCGCTTGTCTTCAGAGAACGATATTTTTGGGAGGGTTTTGGTAATTTGGTGTCAATTAAACTACGACATTTAAGTTGATGAAATGCAATGCTGAAATTATTACTAAAAGCCTTTGTGTGTGCTTCATTTACTAGGTAATTCATCCGGAGGTGGTCATCAAGATGGTATTAAATATGTTTTAGTTCATTTGATTTAAATTCATTCTGAACATTTTATGATCAATGCTATAGATCTCTAGGAGTGTCCCTCAATAGCTTTGAATGCAAACTATATCAGTAAATTATATATTTCTTTATTATTTTGTATTGAGAGTTTTGATTTACTTTACTTACATCTTGTTAACTGAAGTATGAAAACCAAGTTTAACTTGTTTTGGTCCTCTGATTTCCAAGCTCAGAATTTGAAATATTAGTTTTCTTACTTACTGCCACACATCCTGTAAAATATCAAAACTATCTCTCAGTACTTGTGGGTACTTTTCCTTTTGCAGATCAATTTGTAATAATGGAATTAATTTCCACATTATTGATTTAATTCATCGTTTTATTTTGCAGGAAAAGAATATGAGACAGATCAAGTGTTTGTGTCCAATCTTCATCCCTCTGTGACAGAAGAGGCCATCAAAGAGCGTTTTGGTTCTATCGGTATTATAAAGGTAAGTTTGTACACAAATGGGTTCTTTTAATGAATATACAATACAATTATCTCTCTTCAAACCTCAAGCAAGAACGAACTCAAACCAGTTGCCAAGATGGGGATGAAAGAACCAGTCATAAAGATCCAAATGATGAGAGATACATCTGCAGCTACTTTGGAGGAGCAAAGAAAAGAAGCTAATTAGAAACCATTTGGAGACATTTACAACCAAAACATATGGCTCAATGACATTTAAGTGCAGGATTAATACCATGAAACACTTTCATTTATAGTGAATGGAGGGAATTTGGTGTGTGTGTGTGTGTGTGTGTGTGTGTGTGGGGAGGGCGGGGGGGCATGTTTAGCATAAGAGCATGTTATACTGCTACTTAAAAAAAGTCATTTTCACATGCAGGATTAATCAAATCTGGAGTGAAATAGGAATTTTTGTTAGTATGCTAAATAATCCAACTTCTTGCTTTGCTTGTTCAGACTGACAAGAGGACTGGCACCCCAAAAATCTGGATATACAGGCATCCTGATGGTACCCCTAAGGTGAACATTTACTCAATTGCTGTATTTTTCATCAAAGCCATACTAAAATTATGAATTAGCAGTGTTTCCGCCAGAGTGCGCCATTGTGGGTATCCCACGTTACAATCAGAGATGGCCCCCAGAAAAACGAAAAAAGGGCCAACTTGGCCCTTTCCTATTACAAACTGCAGGCTTAACACAGGCATACATGTAATATTTTTAAAGCCATCACAGGGCTCGAAATTGGGATCGATATGGTCGCCAATGCAACAAACATTTCATCCTTGGCAACCAAAATTCTGGTTTAGTCACCATTATACGGACTACATTTCTCTGTGTTGAGGATGAATAACAGTTATTTTGTCACACATTATGTCCCTCTAGAATATGATATTGAAAGATCTTTGTTTCTAAAACATTCAACATAAGAAAAGAAGTCAATATGTCCATTTGCTTTGCTGTATTGATTCTCTCATATCGGAAAACTTCCAAATTGATGACGGTGTTTGAAATCGCCCTTTAATGCATTGCAAACCCTTGATCATTGACTACGTCATATATCCCTAAGGATTGTTCTCTTGTAATGCACGGATCCTTCATAACAGTATCTAATTCAAAAGAAACTTTATTAAGCAGAAACACTTCAAAAAGCACTTACTATTAAATTTATCATAAATCTTAATAAACTGCTCTATTTTCCTTGGTACCCTGATGCATTTTTTTGTTCGGTAGCTTTCAATTTATTGGCCCCTTTCCTAAAAAATTGGCCCCTAAAAAAGATCTTCAGGGGCCGCTTTGGCCCTCGAGTAAAATTTTCTGGCTGAAACACTGAATTAGTACAGTACAGAACAGCCCTAGGGTAAAGATATTAATAATAAGTGAATTGTTGAAGGGAGTGCAAATAGTAATTTTCCCATAGTTTGTCTTATGAGTTTCCTGTCAGTTTGAAATATGTCATAAAGTGTGTGTTTTTCATTAATAAGAAGCTTACAATACAAACTGTGTGACAATTTTTCATTTCATGTGCTAAGAATCAAACCACTTCAAATTCAAATTTCTGACAACTGCTAACCTCCCTAGCCATCCCTAGCAGTTTTGACAGTGGTACCCAAGGAGCTGAAGTACATCTCACAAAAAAAATGTGTTCCAAACAATATCTTTGATCAGTCATATATCTTGTTTGCTCCTGCAGGGAGATGCTACAGTCACTTATGATGATCCCCCAACTGCCTCCGCAGCTATTGAGTGGTTTAATGGTAAACTATCGAAATGATTTTTGTCATTAATATGGTTAATTTCAAGTTCCAAATTATGTTAGAAATGTAGAATGTTTCATTGTGTTCGTATTTGTAGGTAAGGATTTCCTTGGGCAGCCAATCAAAGTCGAATTTGCAGAGAAGAGAGTTCCCAAAGGAGGCTTTGGTCGAGGCGGAGGACGAGGTGCAGTTGTGTTTCTCTTATTTTGGATAAATTGTTATGCCACATGGCACATTCTTGCACTTATGCTCTATTCAGTGCTTGCAGTGGAGTGGCTAGACCTAGCGAAATGTTTTGTAGTAATGGGTAGCATTGTGGTAGAATGGTATCAAGGATGTTTTTTGCCTTCTAATGGTGTACGATAAAGCTGAAGTCTGCATACCAGCCAGGCCAGCGAGTATCTGCGGTTTCTGTAGCACAAAGAAACTAGGGGGAATGTCTACTCCTCCCTGCATGGGAGGATAGTCCATCCAAGGGTTACCCCCTAGCATTAGATTAAACTAGCCAAGTGCATTAACCACGAGGTCTCCTAGGGGTGTTCTGATAAAAATTTGTCAATTTTAAGGAGCAAATCAATCAATGGCAAAGTTGATGCCAAATTGCCGGTTTTCTTCACTTTGCTAGGTCTGAGTGACAACAACTGTGTATTAGCTGTCCCAGAGTAGCTTAATTTCTGACTCTGTTTTCTCACACAGGAGGTGGACGCGGTGGACGTGGAGGGGGTGGTTTTGGTGGTGGTGACCGAAGGGGTGGCCGGGATGATAGCCGTGGTGGTGGAGGCGGAGCAGGGGGAGGAAACCAGGGCAAATTAGAGGCTCGTGCTGGAGACTGGGACTGCTCGTCGTACGTACTATTTTTGTGTCCAAATTAGCAGCGAAATGCAAAACAGTTATGATCTTGTAC